CCTTCCTTCCTTCCTTCCTTCCTTCCTTCCTTCCTTTTGTGGCACTGGGGACTGAACCCAGGCCTTTGCACTGAACTACATCCCCAGCTCTTTGTTACTTATTTACTTATTTTTAAGATTTTGAGACACCAGATGTGGTGGCACAAGACAAGATCTCACTAAGTCCCTAAATCACCTAGGCTGGGTTTGAGTTTGATGATCCTCCTGACTCAGCCTCTAGAGCCCTGGGATTACAGGCGTGTGCCAACCTCCGGTGGAGGAAGCACTTTCCCAGGCTCACTGTGTGCCTGGTGGGGGGAGGGGTTACAGGAAGGCCAAACAGTTCACCCTCACTCACAGCTGCTCCTCCACATCCTGTAGCCCTACTGTGTGCTGGCTTCTCACACTGGGGCACACAGCAGAGACCCCTGAGCCCTGAGTTCAAATCCTGGCTTCACGTCTGCCTTCTCTGTACCTCACATTTCCCATCTAGGAAATGGGCTGAGCAGTTTCCCTGCTTCCCAGTGTGGCTGGGAGGCACAGTCTGTGAGGATAAATCCAACAATAACAAAGTCATCAAGACATTTCTGAAATGCAATTGATTTTTTTTTTTTTTGTACTGGGGATCGGACTCGGGCCCTTGCGCTTGCGCAGCAGGTGGCGAAACCACTGAGCTAAATCCCTGGCCAATGCAATTGATTTTTATTCCATGATGTCCACATCCCAGACCTTGAGGCCATACTCTCTCAGGTCCCCCCTTTTGGTTTTCTGAGTAAGGGTCTCACGATGTATCCCCAGCTGGCTGTGAATTTAGGGTGATCCTCCTGCCTCAGCCTCCAGAGTGCTAGGATTATAGGTGTGCACCACCATTCTGGGCTTCCTTTCCGGATTTGAGTCTCATGGCGTGTTGGGGAAAGGGGGCCAGGAGCATTAGAGGACTCCTCTCAGTCCCCCAGCTGCTTCGACAGTGGGGTCCCACAGAGCCTTCCCTCTGACCACAAGGTCCTGGCTGTGAAGTGGGCAGCTGTGGGCCTCAGGACGGTCCCTGCGTGTGCTCTGCCCTCCGGCCTGTTCCCGGAGGCTGGCTCGTCCCTGAGTCCTTCCCACTGCCCCCGTCTCTGAGGGCATGGAGCTGGGAGCGGCAGGGGCTGCAGGGCAGGGCGAGGTCCTCGCCTCCACCCGGTCAGGCCACCACCCTGCATCGCCACCCTTGGCAAATATTTGCTCGCCACTTCCGGTTCCTCCCCACCTGCTAAAGCACAGGCAGCATGGCCCCTGCGTGGGTCTGGGGGTGCGGGCCCCCCTCTGCCTTCTCCCACTCCTCCCTCCTCCCCCTCCTGCCTCCCCTCCAACTTCCTTCTTCCCTTCCTCCCCTCCCCTCTCACCTCCCCCTTTCCCTCCACAGCTCAAGTCCTGGGGCTCCAAGGACACCCCTGCCAAGGCCCTGATGAGACAGCGGGGCGCTGGGGATGCCCGGCCCCTCGCCCGGTGCCAGCCCTGGGGTAGCCCCCTGCCCCTGATCCCCGCCCGCCACCTCCGCTACCTGTCCCCGACCCGCAGAAGGTTTGGTGACAATGCTCCATCCAAGCTGGCGGAGCTCAGAGGCATCCAGCAGCCAGACTGGGCCTCTCGCTCAGGCCGAGGGGGGCGCCCCTGACAGCAGCCTGGCTGTTGCGGCTGCCACTGGTGCCCACTCAGAGCCCGGGCACCAGGCCGTGGGCAGTGGGAGGGATTTTGTCCACTTGCTCCGGAACGGGGCGAAGCCCATGGCCTGCTCTAGGCTCTGTCACAGAATGGGAACCAGAAAGGCTGCCAGCTGCAGGTTCCAGGAGAACGGACGTGGCCTCAGCCAGGCCAGGACTACTCGGAGGAGGCGGGGGAGTGTCCCCATGGTGAACTGTGGGCTAACTAGGAGGAGCCCTTTGGACAAAAGGCAGATACTGCTGGAGCTGTGGGTAAACCGAGCCCTGGAACCGGAAGAGCCGAAGGATGGGGTGCTGGAGGTTCCTGGAGGGAGCAAATCTGAATAATGAGCGGCCAGAAAGTCTCTCGGATGGAGCTCTAGGGAGGGACCCGGCACTGGTGGGGAGAACTGGGTGACTGGGGAGCAAAAGGGACAGCATTCGCTGGGCAGGAGGCCTCCCCTTCTGCAGAGAATAAACCGCTTTATTCCACAAATGTGGGTCTCCGAGCCCAAGCCCAGCCTCCTCCCTCAGACCCGGGGCTCCTGACCCCATCCTCCCTCTGAGAGCTGCGCCCTGTACCGGGCTGACGTGGGCCCATCCCCTCTGACCTCGCTCGGTCCCAGTCCCTCTCAGTGCCCGAGGGCCCGAGGACCCTACATCCGGCCCGGCCCTCCCCTCGTGAGCCCCTGCCACCTCCTGAGTCTCCCCCTCCTGAAAGGATCAAGGACCCGGGGCAGCTAAGCATTTATTTTCAGGGTCACTGGTGGGGGGATTGGGAGTCCTTGCTGGAGCCAGGGGTGGTCTCGGGCTCAGGCTCAGGGTCCAGGCCGTTGTCCCCCAGGTCCTTGTCCCAAGGGAAGGCCGGCATCCCCCGCATCTGCTCTCGGTAGACACGGTCGAAGGCCTCGCTCTGTGCCACTGTGAAGTGGTTCTTCCAGTCGCCACTGATCCCTGGGGCGCACAAGGGAGGGAGAGAAGGGCCGGGTGAGGCGTGCTGGGGTGAGGCCCCCCATTCCGGCACTTTCCCCTTCCTGCCCTTTGCAGAGACAGCACCCCCTTCGGCCTGTCCCCCACTTTACCCCCGTGACACCACAGAGCCCCTGCCCCAAGCCAGGCATTCTTGGGGTGCCTGTCTGTGAGGCCCTGGCCAGCGTGGGGCTCCCTTGGTTTCCCATCTCCTCTTGGGGTGACCACTAGGGCACCACCCCTGGCTGGCGTGCAGGGGCCCTCGTGATCCAGACCCCAGTGTTTGAAGTGCATGTGACATGTGCCACCCAACACCCAGGTGGGGTCTCGAGTCCCCCCAAGATGCCCCAATCCCTGCAATCTACGAATATGTAACTTCCTCTTTCCTTCTTCTTCTTCTTCTTTTTTTTTTCCCTGCCTTTTTCTTTTGTTGTTTCTTTGAGTCAGGGTCTCACTATGTAGTTCCGGCTGGCCTCAAACTCGTGGCGATCTGACTGCCTCAGCCTCCCAAGTGCTGGGATCATAGGCCTGGGCCACCATGTCCGGCTTCAAACACCTGACTGTTTCTGCAGTGAGCCAGGTTGGGGGTTTGAGAGGCCCAGCCCATGGGCTCGGCTCTGGCCCTCTGGCGCGTGCGGGGGCCAGGCCCGGTGCTGTGCTGTGCTGTGCTGAGGGTGAGGTCAGCCTGGTTCCCGGTTCCCAGTTCCTGGGCCCTGTCCGCCCGGCCATGTGGAGGCCGGGTGCAGTGCGGGCCCCACCTTTGCGCAGGAAGGCCCCGAGGCGGTGGTCCAGCAGGGTGGGGGGCAGCAGCGTGTAGTTGGACATGGTGTTGGCCTTCATGGCGCCGAAGGTCGAGTGGGCCACCACGGAGCCCAGCGCCTCCTCGGCCAGCGGCCGGCCCAGGAACTCGCAGATGCGCTGCACGGAGCCGTGGAGGTCCTGGGAGGGGAGAGGCAGAAAGGGCCCCCGCCGAGGGGCACCCAGGGTGGCCTGAGTCGCCCCTCACCCCCCACCCCTGCCAGTCACCAGCCCCGTCCCTCCTGCCCTCTTTCTGTCCCCTCAGCCCCAGGACTGACTGAGGCCTCCCCCTCGCCCTTCCAGACCCTTACCCCAGTCTCCTCCCTGGTCTCCTGCCGCCAGCTCATCCCCCACACAAGCTGGCCCTGCTCCTCCCTGGCTCCCAGCCCTCCTGTGGCTCCCCAGTGCCCCAGGACAGGTCTGTTGTTCTTTCTTTCTTACTTTTTTTTTGGATCAAACTCAGATCCTTGTGCTTGTGCAGCAGGCGGCAGAACCACTGAGCTAAATCCCTGGCCCAAAGAACACTTTTTTTTGGTCCCTCCCTCCCTCCCTCTTTCTCTCTCTCTTCTTTCTTTTTGAGATGGGGCTCACTTTGTACTGCAGGTTGGACTTGAATACACTATACTATGTAGTAGCACAGGCTGGCCTCAAATTTCCAAAGATACTCCTGCCTCAGCCTCCTGAGCACTAGGATCTCAGGCCTGTGCCACCAAGCCCAGCTGGCCTGGTTTTCAAGGACAGGGTGGCCAGTTCTCAGCCCTTCCTGAGGTCCCAGGATTTGCCATCCCTGCATGTTCCTCCCTCTGGTCCTGGCCTGAGGCTGCTGAGAGCGTCATTCACCCCTGAGTATCGACTTCCTCAAGTCCCCACAGACTGAGCACCTGCTGCACACCAAGCTCTGGTCCGAGTCCCTCATGTGCATTTGTGCCAGTTCTGCCATCAGCTTTGCAAAGAGAAGCACCATGCTGGGCATGGAGATGAATGCCTACAATTCCAGCACCCTGGGTGGCTGAGGCAGGAGGATCGAAAGTTCAAGCCCAGCCTGGGCAATTTAGCAACCTTGTCTCAAAATTAAGAAAGAGCTAGGGGTGTAGCTCAGGGTAAAGGCCCCGTTCTGAATCCTCAGTACTGAAAAAGAACCGTGTCACGCCCAGAGACAGCAAGCCACTTGTCCAAGGTCACGCAGCACGGAGAAAGTCGGACTTGGTGACCACGGCCCTCGGCCACGCTCTCCCTTGCCGCTTCCCGTCACACAGCACCGCCTTTCCAGGCCACTCCTGGTTTTGTAACCGCCACCCCTTTCTGTCCCAGAAACTCGACCGTGTGGGCAGCCTGCGAGCTCCCCAGGCTGGGTGGCCCAGTTTCTGGTGTGGAGAATAAGGCTGGAGGGGAAGGATGGGCAAGGCGCTGCTGAGGCCTTTTCCGCATCTTTCTACCGAGACGAGACATTTACCCAGCTGGGAAAGGTACCCTAGGGTCTGGTCAGAGCCACGGCGGCGCCTCCAGGAGGCCTCCCTGACTTCCCAGCACCATGGTCTCCCCGCCTGCCTCCCGGGGACGCAGTGGGGTCCCTCTGGGGTCCAGCCTGATCCCGAGGGTGCTTTCCTCCACCGTCGCCCTCCACCCTCCTGGTGCTCGTCTCTCACGGGCTGCGGTCCTGCAGGATTCCCTCTGTCCACCAGTGCTCACCCTGCCCGCCCTTCATTTGTCTCTGCTGCCAGGGAACACACCGAGCAAAGCCACCCCCAGGCCTCTGCCCTGGCCACTGGCCACTGCCCTGACACTGCCACGGCTCCGCCTCTCTTCCTTGCTGCCTCCCCTGACCCTCAGCTCTGGGCCGTGCCCCGCAGGGCCCTGACTTCCTTCCTGCTGGTGCTTCCTCCAAAGCTCTTCCCCCGCACTGACCCTCTCTGGACTGGACTGATTTCCCTGGGTCCTCGTCCCCCACCAGGTCCATTCTGAATCCACAGTGCCTGGCGAGGGAGCACAGGGGTGGGGGAGACAGCAAGGCCCGGGGGACCCACCTGCTGGAGTTCCTCGTAGGTGAGGAACAGGAAGTTCTCTTTGCCCTGCATCCGGATCCAGCCCTTAATGTGGTCGAACCAGGAGCCAAACTGCACTGTGGGCAAGGGGCAGGGTGAGGGCCGGGCACAAGGCCACTTGGCTCAGGGGGGTGCTGGAACCCCAACACACACCCTAGCACCCCCGGCCCTGCTCAGTCCAGTGTCCCTCTCACCTGTCCCTCTGGGACCCAGCCACCCGGCCAGTCCATCGGCAGCCTGATCCCCCCCACCCTCAACTCGGATCCAAACTCGAGAGCCTCCTTCCTCAGCCTCCCAGAAAGCTGGGCTTGCAGGTGTGCGGCACCATGCCAGGCTTCCAGCCCTGCCCCTCTGCTCTTAGCCCTCTGTGCAGCCAGGGCCTCCTTGCCTTGCGCGGAGCTCACCTTCGCCTTTGAGGAAGTCTTGCAGGAACTGGTCAGGCGTGCCGGGGTCCTTCAGCTGCCGGGCAATCTTGGAGTAATGGTAGAAGGACACCAGGATGTCGCGGGGATTCCGGCCCACGTAGATGACCTGCTCATGGGCGGCAGGGAGGGGGAGGGCGTCAGGCACCGGCAGGCCCAGCCCGGGCAGGCAAGGGCTCAAGGAAGACTTCTGGGGACCTGCGGCTAACAGGGCCTCACTCTGGAGAATCGCAGGGAGGACAGCGTGGGATGCAGGATGGGGGAGATCAAGGTGCGAGGTGCTGACTAAGCCGTGGGTTGCTGCCCGCCCCGTGACACCCCTTGCTCCCCACCCCGCACCTTGGCCTTGGTGTCGAAAGCGGCCTTGGGGAAGATGTGCACGGGGAGGTGGGAGCTCAGGAGGCGCGGCCTGGGCTGGTCCGGGAGGGTGAAGGCGCCTACGACTGTCTCGCACCAGGGCGAGCGCTCCCAGATGGGCACCGAGTGGATCCAGGAGGGATCCCCGTCCTTCAGGATTAGGCTGAGGATCTCAATCATCCAGGAGGTGCCTGTTGGGAGAAACTGGGCAGATGAATCGCAGTGGGAAAGGGTGACCCGGTGAGGGGACAGTTAGATTAACAACAGCAGCCTCTGCAGAGCACTTTGCCACCTTGTGTTGTGTGTGTGGCAGGGTCTTGCTGTGTGGTCTAGGCTGGCCTTGAAGTCACAGCAATCCTCCTGCCTCAGCCTCCCAAGTGCTGGCCATTTGCCATTTGTTTTATTGCATTTATTTTACCCTCACAGTCCTTGGCAAAGGCAGGGTTGATGAGCCTCATTTTCAGAGCAGGTGACAAAGACACAACAATGTCTACCAGGACCCTGGGAGGCTGAGGCAGGAGGATTCCAAATTGGAGCCCAGCCTGGGCAACTTAGTGAAAGCCTGTCTCAAAATGAATAAATAAAAAGGATTGGGGATGTAGCTCAGTGCAAAGGCCCTGGGTTCAACCCCCAGTGCTAAAAAACAAAAATGAGAACCAAAATATGACATGATGTCACTTGTCCAAGGCGGCAGCCATAAACCGGCCACCCTCCCACCCCTGTCCCATCTTCCTGCTGGGATATGGTGAGGCCACATCTCTTGTACCCCCTGTGGGGCCACAAGACGGGGCCTGGCCAAGGCAGTGTTTTGGATGCTTTATTGTTTTTGCAGCACTGGGAATTGAACCCTGGGCCTTTGCACTAAGTCACAGCACACTGTTTTATTTATTTTGAGGCAGGGTCTCCCTAAGGCTCCAAGTTGCCCAGGGAGGGTCCTCCTGCCTCTGCCTCCCAAACACTGGGATTACAGGTGTGCGTCACCATGCCCCGCTTGTTCTACTGGATTCTAACAACTGCCCTGTGGCCGGCACAAAGCGTGGCCTCTGGGCTCTAGGCTTCTCTGGTCTTGGACACCGGAGCTGGATCCCCATGAACCTTTCCCTCTTCGAGCTGGCTCAGTGCGAAGCTCGGCCGGCAGAGGGCGCTGCAGGGACACGCAATGAGGACCAGGTTGCTCTTCCTGTCCTCGCGGATCTGTGACTACCAGCAGTCAGCCCTGCAGTGGACACCCATCGACATTTACCACCCAGCCCCTGAGAAGTTTCAGTGCCATGCCTTCTCCAGGAGAATGGGTGAGAGTAGGGGACAGGGGGGTCTTCCAAATGTGTTGCTGCCTAGGGGGATGGGCTTGGGGGGTTAGTTCTAGCTCTGGAGAAAGTGGCTGGTCTTTATATCAGCTGTTCCCGTGTTATTTTCTTTTTTTTTCTGAGACAGTGTCTTCCTATGTAGTTCAGGCTAGACTCGAACTCAAGGCCATCCTGCTGCCTCAGCCTCCCAAGCTCGTTATACAATTATAGGCGTGCACCACCACACCCAGCTTTGTTTTCTTAAAATGCCTTACTGTTCCCCGTAGTGGCTGCGTCACTTTGCATTCCCATCACAGAGCACAAAGATTCCAATTTCTCCACATCCTGGCCCACACTTGACATTTTCCAAATAATAGCCACCGCTTGGGTGTGAATCATTCTTTACATGAAGCTTTTCCTGTCCAAATTATTGTGCGGTTTCAGACTCCTATCTGGGCCTGACCAATCCACCCTGGTGAGGCCCATCTTCGCAGCCCATCCTCCGCTCCTAACGTTACTATGCGAACACTAGCTGAGCCTGTTGGCATCAGCTAGAAACTACATCTCCCAGAATCCTCCACAGCGGGAGGTCCATGTCAACGCTCTGGCCAATGAGAGGCGAGAAGTGAGTCCACCTTCTGGGTCATACTTAAAAGAGGAGCTGTTCCCCCCCACACACCCCCACCCCCCACACTGTTTTCATTTCCCTTTTCTACCGGCAGCACTGTGGAGCTGGTGCTCATAAAGAGGCCAACACCATTTTAGAAGCCAACACGCTAGAAGGCAGCTCTTCCTGACTGCTTGGAATGGAGCCACTTGTCTGGCCAAATGCCCTCCAACCTGACACCGATATGGGGGGGGGGAGCATTTATTTCCTGGGGACGCTTGGGTAGAGCATTATTTTGAGACAGGGTCTCGCTAAATTGCCAAATTGCCCAGGCTGGGCTCAAACTTGTGATCTTCGGGCCTCAGTTTCCCAGAGTGCTGGGATTACAGTTGTGCACCACCACACCTGGCTATTAGAACATTTTTACCTACACCCACACCTAACACCCAGTGTTGTCACTGGAGAAGAAACTAAGGAAATGGGGAATGGGAAGTGGAGGGCTTGAACGTGTTCTAGAGGTTTTTCATGTTTCCTAAGGATTTGAACCCAGGGAGAAACAGCCAAGGGAAAGGTTTTCCACCATGGAATCCTGCCTACAAAGGGTCCAGTCGTGTTCCCACCATCAGAGTCCACTCCATAATTATAACACAAGCACCTGCAGTCCCAGGTAGCTACTCAGGAGGCTGAGACAGGAGAATCACTTGATCCCAAACTTGAGAATGAGCTGGGCAAAATAGCAAGACTGTCTCAAAAACAAAAACAACAATCATAATGATGATGAATAAATCAATCAAATATATATATATATATAAAATAATATATATAAATATATATTTGTTTGCTTGTTTTATTTTTTGAGACAGGATCTCATTATGTAGCCCAGGCTGGCCTCAGACTCTCCCTCAGCCTCTTAAGTGCTGGGAATACAGGTGTGCACCACCACATACAGCAAAGAGAAATACATTTTTTCTTGTTTTTTTGAGACAGGGTCTCGCTATGTAGCCCAGTCACCTTGAACACACAGCAATCCTCCTGTCTTAGCCTCCTGAGTGCTACAATTACAGGCATTGGCTTCCATGCCTGGCTAAACACAAATATATTTGATTACATAAAATATGCATATAAAAACATTATGAGCAAAGGATAAAAGGCAAATGACCATCTGGGCAAATATAATTTACCACACACACAAAGAGTTAAGTTCGCTAATATATAAAAAGCTGCTTTGAATCAACGAAAGACCAATTCAATAGAAGAGAATAAAGGTCCGAGGCTGGCAGATCCTCAGAGAGGAAATATAAGTAGATTTTGTTGGTGGTGGCAGTTTTAGTTTTGGGTACCAGGCATCAGTCCCAGGGCCTCTCACACGCTAGGCACATCTACCACTGAGCAAATCCCCAGCCTGTAAGTAGTTGTTGAAATATCTAAACCGATGCTCAACTTTACCAATAGCAATAGAAATGTAAATTAAAGAGAGCCGGAAGTCCCTATCTGTTTTCACTGGTTGGACTGGTGCAGAGTGAAAGCCCAGACTGGGGGCAACAGTGGTGCAGTGAGGAGCACCCTGCCCGGCCGTGGGTTGAGGAACGAGCTCTGTGGGTGGGAATTTGGGCACATCTGTCAGGACCTCGGATGCCACCCTGGTCACCCAGCAGCACTGTAGCTGCCTTTTTTGGAGAGGTGCTGGGGATCAAACCCAGGACTTTGCACTGAGCAACATCCCCAGGCTGCCTTTTTTTTTTTCTTGGTCCCAGAGATCAAAGTCAGGACCTTGCACTTGCCAGGCAGGCACAACACCACTGAGCGACATCCCCAGCCCTCTCAGGCTTTCTTTTATTTTTTATTTTGAGAAAGGGTCTTGCTGAGTCTCTAAATTGCCCAGACTGGGCTTGAATTTACAATCCTCTTGCCTCACGCACCCTCCCAGAGTGCTAGGATTATAGGTGTGCAGCACCACACCGGCTCATGTCAAGGAGTTTATCCTACAGATACACACAAGTGCAAAATTTCATTTATATATGCATATTTTATTTTTGAGGCAGAATCTCACTATATAGCCAAGGCTGGCCTTGAGCTCACGGGGATCCTCCTGCATCAGCCTCCTAAGTGCTGGGATTACAGGCATGTACCACCATGCCCAGCTCTAATGGGTCATAGATTTACATGTAAAATCCAAACCTGTAAAACTCAAAGGAACACAGGACATCTTTATGATCATGGGTTAAACAGATTTCTTGGATACAACACCAAAACCAGGATCCTTAAAAGAACAAATTGACAAATTGGATCTCATCCAGATTAAAAATATAGCTGGCCTGGTCCCTCATCTCCCTGGAATTAGCTCCACCAGCCTGGCTCCTTTCCTTGTGCGAGCACTGACCTCCTGCTCTTCCTGGAGCCTTTGTGCCTGCTGCTCCCTCATCCTGGAACCCCCTTCACATGCAAACTCTTTGCCCTACTCAACGCCTGTTTACTCCCCTGTCCACAGCGCAGCCTACTTCTTAAAAGACTCTCAGTAGTTTTACCTTTCTGGTAACAACTTGGTAGAAACTGCAGGTCTGAGCCTCTCTTGCAGCATGATGTGGTGGCTAGAGCAATAGCAACCATCTTGGACCATGAGACTATTTTGAAGATGGAAGCCCTCAGTCCAAGAAACGTGCAGCAGAAAAATGAGAGGAGGCCAGACAAGGTGGACGGCTCCTTGCCACATCCCGGCGTCAGGAGCACGCCTTTCTCCTCTCCTTTTATCGGATCCGAGTCTTTCATCAAGCTGTCTGGTTCTGTCTTATTCAATTAAATTTTTTAATAAAAAAAAAAAGTATGCACTTAGGCCCTGGTGAGAAATGAAAAGACCATGCACCGAGTCTTTGCGAAATGCATATCTGGTCAAGGCTTTGTATCTGTAGTATAGTTCTCAAAGCTCAGTGATAAGAAAACAAAGTACTCCACAGAACAGGGAGGCGATTTGACCTGATACTTTACCAGAGAAGGCATGGGTGGGGGGTGAAGGGGCATGGAGAAAACACAGCATCCCTGGTCAGCAGGGAAATGCAAATTAAAGCTGCAATGAGACATCAGTCAGCGCTTATCAGAGTAGCTTTAAAGAGCCCAGGCTGGTGGTACTGGCCTGTGATGCCAGACTCAGGAGGCTGAGGCAGGAGGGTTACAAGTTCGAGGTCAGCTTGGACTGCACAGTGAGTTGAAGGCCAGCCTGCACTACATAGTGACACCCTGTTTCGAAAATAAATAAATAAATACAATAAATCTTAGTTTGGAGCCTAGAACAGGGCTCTACATCATGCTATGTAATAAATGTTCTCTAGAGATTTGTGGGAGGGAAGATCTTCATTTTCTGCACTGGGTCACTGAAGCGCTACTGATGGGTCCCATGTGACCAAGAGCAACATGTGTCAATTTGCGGGGAACAATAGGCTTTTTAAAACTTTTGAGACGGGGTCTTACCAAGTTAGTTGCCCGGACTGGGCCTAAGGTTGTCATCTCCCTGCCTCAGCCTCCCAGAATGCTGGGATCACAGGTATACACCACCGAGTCTGGCCAGACAGGCTTTATTTAAACACGCAATTAGCAGCACCGCCCTATAATTAGGGCTGGGGGTCCGCCAAGGACAGGTGTGGGGAGCGCTGAATGTGGGAGACAAGACAGGGCCTGGCCATGGGGAGGGCAGCGCTGATGCCTGGAGGGGTGTGGCAGTTTGGGGACAAGGGAAGGCCAGGTGCTGGGGTACAGGGGCCTTACCCAGAAGGCACGAAGGGAATCTTCTGGAAGGTTTCGGGGATAACAGAGCTTGACTTCAGCCTGTTCTTCTTTAAAAGGATGGGGTTAACCTGGTTAACTTCTATTATATTATTATTTTATTTTATTTGTACCGGGGGTTGAACTTGGGACCTTGTGCCTTCGAGGCAGGCAGCAGAACCACTGAACTAAATCCCTGGCCCTTCTATTATTTTTTAAAATCTTTTGGAAATATTTCAGAAATCCTTTTTCTTTCTTTTTTTTATTTGTTTTTTGTTGTTTGTTTGTTTGGTTGGTTGATTTTGGTTTTTTGAGACAAGGTCTCACTGTGTAGCCCAGCCTAGCCTCAAACTTGCACTGACCCTCCTGCCTCTGCCTCCCAGGTGCTGGGATGACAGGCGTGTGGCACCGGGCCCCACGGCTTTTAAGGCAGCGGGGACACCACAGAGCGCACCTGGGAGCAATAAATGAATACAATGAAGGTTAAGGGAACAGGGAGGGCAGGAGGGGCCCCAGCAACACCCTGGGTCCGAGCCACGGTCCTGGGTAGACCGTCCCCAGGCCCCACCCTCCCCAGCCTCTGTACCTGACTTGGGGTAGGTGACGATGAAGATGTCGTCGTCCAGCACATCCTGGGTGTTCTCGACCAGGCTGACGCTCTCGGGTGAGTAGAGGCCGACGGGGAAGAGGACGCCCTTGTACCTGAAGTATTCGCCCGGGAAATCCGTGCTGCAGGAGAGGGACGGGCGCTGTGAGCAGGGAGGGAGGGAGGCCACGGGGCAGAGGGGACCACACCGCCTCCACCTCCAGCTTTCAAAAGTGGGACTGCTTCACTGGACCCCACACGGGCCTCCAGCCTCAGAAGCCGGTGTGTGGTGCACACCTGTAATCCCAGCACTTGGGAGGCTGAGGCAGGAGGACCACAGGCTGCCCTCGCACTCACTATGCACCCCATGCTGACCTCAAACTCTTGACAATCTTCCTGCCTCAGCCTCCTGGGTACTGGGATTTCAGGCAGGCACCACCATGCCTGGTTTAAAAGGGCTAGTACATCCTAAGTCTGGCTGCTGCTACTTGCTGAGGATAACCATCACTTGGGCCTTCAATGTCACCATAGCTCTGAGAGGAAGCCACCTCCCTCCACCTGCAGCAAAGGGAGAGGGCCCTACGGGGAAAAGGTCTTGTGATGCTCGTAGGGGATGTGAGGGAATCTGAGGTACACCACAGGGCCGGGACACTTGGTGCTGCTCAGCCAGCATCTGAATGAATGTGTGAATGAATGAAGTGAATGGGTGAATGAATGTGCAATGAGTGAATGTGCAAATGAGTAATGTGCAAATGAGTGAATGAATTTGTGGACCAATGAGTGAATACATGAGAGATGAGCGTATGACTGTATGAATCAGTGAATGAATGCGTGGATGAACTGATGCATGGATGAACTAATGAGTGAATGTGTGGATGAGTGAGTGAATGAGTGATGAACGGACGATGTGTGAATGAACGAATGTGTGGAGGCTTTGGCAGGAGGCAGGTGGAGGAAGGTTGAGGACACACAGCCCTTCCAGCTGAGCTGGTTCTCTGCCCCTCTGTGGGGAGGTGGGGCTCCCAAGCCGCACTGCAGTGGCCCCAGTGCACGAATCTCAACCTGTGCAACCTACAGTGGGAAGAAACCCTGCCCCCGTGTAAACTGTGGCTTAGGGCTCCCCATGTGTTTCAGTTTTTAAAAAAATTGTTTTCAGTACCACGGGTTGAATTCAGGACCTTGAACTTGTGAGGCAGGTGTGGTGCCACTGAGCTAAATACCTGGCCCCCCATGTGCTTCAGATGGGAAAACAGGGGTTCAGAGAGGGGAAGCAGTTTGGCCAAGGCCACAGAGCAAGAACCAAGCAGAACTGGAGTAGTGGTGCAGGCCTGTGATACCAGCTACTAGGAGGCTGAGGCAGGAAAATCTCCAGTTTGAGCCCAGCCTGGGTCACTTAGTGAGACCCTGTCTCATCAAAGGACGACGCACGAGGGCATGGTGGCCTAAGCCTGTAATCCCAGCACTCAGGAGGCTGAGGCAGAAGGATCGCTGTGAGTTCACGGCCAGCCTGAACTACAAAGGGAAACTGTCCCAATCCCCCCTAAAATGACACACAAGGAGAGTTGGGGTCTGAGCCCAGTGGCTGGTTCTTCCCCACGGCCCCCCAGCCAACCAGAGCCCCCAAGTGCATCCATCCTGTCTTGGACCCGGCCCCAGGGCCTCGGTGGTGCAGACAAAAGCCACGGGGATGGAGTTGAACCTGGCTGAACCCTCAGTGTGCCCAGCACAGGGCCTGGGCCTCCCTTCTCCATCCCCGAGCCAGATCTGGTCCCGAGGCCGCTCCTCTCCAGGTTGTCCCCACAGAGCGTGCTGGCGCCGACACACAGCGATCGTCCATCTGAGCAGAGGAATAAAGGTGACGGCGGGCGTGGGGCAGGCCAGGGACACGATGGGCCAGTTCTGCTGACCCGGTGGGCTGATGGCCTCGAGTTCACTTTGCCACCCAGGAGGCCGCTACTGGCCCTGCCAGGGACCCCAGGCCCTGGGACCCACCCCTCCCCTCTCCTCCCCTTTCTTTTTTTTTTTTTGGTACTGGGGATCGAATTCGGGTCCTTGCGCTTGCAAGGCGGGCGGCAGAACCACTGAGCTACATCCCCGGCCCCTCCACTTTCCCTTTCTTCAGAGACTGGGTCTCACTATGAAGCCCAAGCTGGGCTCAGGCTCTTCTCAGTCCTCCTGCCTCAGCCTCCCGAGACTGCAGGCTTGTGTGTCTCTTATTCCAGTGCTTGAGACTGGAAGTGTTTGGGGTTCAGATTTTTTTTCAAGATTTTGTAACATTTGCAAATGTGTTGTGAGACGTCTCAGGCAGGGACCCAAGTCTGAACACAAAGTCCACACAGGTTTTGTCCTTGCCTTCTGCACCACAGCCTGGAGGGAACTGGGTAAAATATTCTCGTGCTCCTGCCTTTGGACCTCGACCCACAGGGGAGGATGGGTGGAATGGTGTCTGGGGCTGGGCTTCCCAAATGGTCACCCTCATGTGGACAGTTCGTGCCTGTCCCTGTTGGGGCGTGTGTTCCAGGGCTGTGCTCGGACTGCTTCTTCCTTTCTCTGTCCAAAGCACTCCCAGTGCAGGAGGGCTGAACGATCTTCCAGCTCACCCATTCATTCCCCACAGCCTCCAGGCCTGACTCACGTCTCTCCACACCCTACCCATCAGTCTTATTACCTTCCCTGCTTACAGCTGAGCCAAGGCTGGGTGTGGGGGTGTATGTGTGGAATCTCAGCACTCAGGAGGCTGAGGCAGGAGGGTTGATGCAAGTTCCAGGCCAGCCTATACATTATACATTGTAAGACCCTGTCTCCAAAAGCCAAACCAAAGATAGAGGAGCAAGCAGGGACACAGAGAGGCAAAGTCACTTGGAGGATGTCACACAGCTGCAGAGGGGCAGAGCTGGGAACTGAAGGCAGGCAGTCCAGTCCTGAAGTGTGCAGACTCAAGTAAGTGTTCACAGCCACGAGCGACTCCTGCCAGCCTCCTCAGGTAACCTGTCACCTTTGAAGTTAAACTCCCAAGCCACGAGCGACTCCTGCCAGCCTCCTCAGGTAACCTGTCACCTTTGAAGTTAAACTCCCAGGGGTTATATTATTATTACTGTATTTTTCTTTTCTTTTTTTGAGATGGGGACTCACTATGTAGCCCAGGCTGACCTTAAACTCGTGGCGATCCTCCTGCCTCAGCCTCTAGAGTGCAGGAATTGCAGGAGTGCACCACCACACCCAGCTGCACATGCCTGTTGATAGTTACTCTGTCCTTGTCACCCCAAGCTGGGAACAGCACAGAGGCCCTCTAACAGGTGAGTGGTCACCAGCGGCAAAGGATCGGGGCAGCCGGAAGGAATGGGGCACTGGGTGTCTGCAGCAGCCCCAAGGAACGAGAAGCCAGGCTCCATGGGGAGGGCACCTCCGTGTGTGACCATCTGCACGGTGGAGTCCTGGCCCCAAAGACACCACAGTGGGGAGAAAGGGATTTTGCAGAGGGGGTCCCAGTCTCGGGCTGTGGGGTGATGTGGGCTGCCTGGCCCGACTGTCCCAAGGGTCCCCAGAATAGCAGAGGGCAGGAGGATCCGGCTGGGGAGAGGAGGAGGCTGCTGCTGGCTTTGAAGGAAGGGACCGTGGCCGAGAGCCCAGGAGCGGGGCCAAGCAGCAGGGAGACGGCTCTGCCGGAGAGGTCAGTCCCCAGGCCACCTCTGTCGGCCCAGCAAGACCCACCTGTACCCGCAGGTGCTTTAGGGCACTTAGCGTGGGGCAGTTCTGCCCAGCAGACAGAAAGGCAGAAAAGTCGGGCCAGAGAGCCCCTGTGTGGTGTAGGGTGGGAGTAGAGACGGGAGGTTGTGACAGCTGAGGGGTCAGCTGGGGAGAGAGACAGCTCTGGGTCTGGACAGTGGTGGCCACACAAACCCAACCCTACATTAAAATCCATAAAACAGGGCAGGAGATTTAGCTCAGTGGTTCCGTGGCCTGTCTTGCAAGCACAAAGTTCGATGCCCGGTACCAAAAAAAAAAGAGTTCTAAACTCCATAAAACAGATTAGCCTGTAATCCTAGCAGGAGGCTGAGGCAAGACAGTCACCACAAGTTTGAGGCCAGCCTGGGCTACATAGCAGGATCATGCCTCAAAAAACCAAAACCAAAAAATAAAGTTCACAAAACTATGTATTTCCCCTCAAAAGGTGGGTTTCACTATCTGATGACGTTGTAGGAGCCTTCTTTATTATAATGGCCAATGCACAGCACATCCCTCATGACCACTTGAGGGTGTGCAGAGAAGCAATGGGTGCGTAATTTTAGATCCATGGAGTCAGTGAGGCCCCTCTGAGGGGCAGAGGCCAGGACTCCCCTGCAGGTGTCAGAAAGAACCGCAGCCAGGTGCATGCCTGTAGTCCCAGAACTCTGGGAGGCAGAGGCAGGAAGATTTTGAATGCAAGGTCAGTCAGGGCAGTTTAGTGATTTAGCAAGAGCTTGTCTCAAAGTTTTTTAAAAAGGGCTGGGGATTTAGCTCAGTGGTTCCAGAGCCTGCCTTGCAAGCGCAAGGTCTTGAGTTCAATCCCCAGTACCAAAAAAAAAAAAAAAAATTTAAGGGTTGAGGATGTAACTCAGTACAAAGACCATGGATTCAATACCTAGTACTGAGAAAAATAAATAAAATAAATAAAGGAGCAGCAATGCAGAGGTAGCGACCTGCTAGAGCCCAGGACTCAGACCCTGCGGCCACAGCGCTGCCCGCCTGAGCTCCCGGCTCCCTCATCCGAGCGGAACCCCGACTGCACTGCAGCGCAATGACTCATGCTTTGGCCAGAGCCAAAAAAACACACCTCTCAGCTGGGGCTGGCACAGCCTCTGGGGACCGCGGGTGGCATTTACAGAACCAGGGGCTGGCTCCGCCCCCGCTGCAGGGGGTCTCCCCAGACCGGGGACCCCACCCCAGGCACGTCTCAGCACCCTGGCTGCTTCCCTCCCAGCTGTTTCAGCACTTAGTGACTATTTTCTTTGTCTATTTCCTTCTTTAAATCCATGGGAGCAGAAAGTCCTTCCTCTCTTGTGTTCCACCTAAAAGGGCCCACGTGGGAGATAACGCGGTCGGCCTTGACTGAACTGTCGGATGCCCCGGTGAGACGCGCCCCGCGGAAACCCATGGGACTTAT